ACTACTGACGATCGTTTTACTTCCAGCTTGGTAATGCAAGGAGGCCTGGAACCTTGACTTATAACGCACCGGCATGGCACTCATTACTGAAGTTAGTAATGTACGACTTCAATACCTAAACGCAACTTCCAATCTTGTATAGCGCCAGAGGTGTTCCAAACCTAGTTAAGCCAATCCTTTATCACAGATCTTAACCATATTCACCACATTACCCGTTACTCCAGCTTTGGCACACTAGTATTACCCTCCCAATCAAGATCCCCAGACCGCCCAGGGGTTGTTGGTGCTACCCTGCCAATCGTGGATTTACATGCGCAACCTATTTGCCCCAAAACCTTCCACGTAACGCCAGCTCTCTATGGCTAGATCTCCTTCCGGGAATTCCTATTCTAGATTCGTACTTCACTTGGACTTTCCACAGGGCTCCATATCCGATTATTAGCTCCTAACATTATAAGGTTACAGAGTTTCTTTCGCCTCCAGCCTGAATCGAACCGTGGATCTTAGCTTATACTGTGAGGGTTTGGCAGCTTAACCACTAAGCTATAGAGCCCAAACCCCATACAAATTTTTAATACAAATTTTTTACTTATAAAAATACTTATATATAATTACAATTCACTTATAATCACTATCACATAAAAATAGTATAAATAAATCTATATACATATATATTATCCTTCTATATAATTATATTATAAACAATAAATTACTGAGTTAGAGTTATCACTTATCAAATTTTAATTCTTGAAGGGCTAATTTATTATATAATAATAATATAAAAAATGAAAGATAATAATAATAATAATAAAATGTAAATCTAATAATAAAACTATAAACTAAACTAATAAATATATAAATTTAATATATGTGAGAATCTGATTCTTATTATAACTAAGACATTGAAAGTTCTAAATTATCATTCAAGACAAGGTTTAAGGAAACTTAACTAAGGCAAAAACTCAGTCTTTTGATATCTTTTACTTTACTAAAAGCTACTGCACTATCTCTAATCCCAGGTATCTTCTTAGCAATCAATCTTCTAAGTAAAGCAACAATCAAAAGCCAACAACCTCATACGATTAATGCTTATTGTCTGGAATTAATATATATCATTAAGCCTCTATTTGCTATCTAGAAACCTCATAATTTCTTGTAGCTCAGATCATTTAGGCTTTTAGTACTACCAAATCACATCTACATCATGGGTTTAATTCTAAAACTGTGACACTAATCTAAAAAATAGCCATTTAATTTTTTAATGCTCAAAGCTTTTAAAACAAATAATTAATATCTTAATACTAATATAATAGATATAACCCATTTTTAACAATTAATAAAGCATATTCATATTATTTATTCTACAAAGTAGCAATTGCAAAATTATGATAGGCTGTTTATAAACAAAATTTTTTAAAATATGCTGTATTATTAATAAAAGAAAGGTTTTCTTATTGCTATAAAGTATCTTTTGCTAAAAGCTTTATAAGTTGATTTTATTATTATTACAACAAAAATTTAAATTAGTAAAGTACTATTAATCATAATTCAACTTAAATAAAATATCCACTTTCCTTCACTAGTATTCCTATTAGCATAATATATAAACTTTGCTAAAACCTTCTGAAAAAATAATACTGTATTAATAATTTTTTTTGCTATAAAATAATCCAAGAAACTTATGCATATACTCATCTAAACCTTTCACTAACTGTTGCATTGTATATGTATCTATTTTTATAGAATCCAATATACTATATATACAAACTAAAAATATATAAAAAAAAGTATAAAAATTTTTTTTAGCTTTACATTTTTATTTGATTTTAATTCGATTATAAGTATTCTGTTGCTTTGATTATAAGCATTCTATCTTCAAATATGTCTAATCAAGGACCAAGAGCAGTTGCAGCTATAATATTAAAAGAATTCTTGGGTAAAATTGCTTTTTTTAATAATTAAGACTAAACCTAATAGTAAACAATATTAAAAAAAAATTACTATTTTGTTCTATTATTATGAGCTACACATTTTATAGTTATTATGTATACAATTATTTAATGCATATATTTATTTAAATATATGTTTATTTAATGCGTATATTTATTTAAATATATGTTTATTCAAGTATGCCTTTAAAATAAGCACTTTATACGTATAATAATATAACTTTTAAAATGATAATTACATATTTTTGATAAACTATATTGTTAATAATTCAATTCTTTAATAAACCTATAAATTTATAATAAAACTAACTTTTCTAAATATTTATTGTCATACAAGTTATTTTTCATAATCATCAGAGTAGTTGTCATAATTATTAGGAAAACTGCTACAATTAGGAAAATTGTTATCTCCAAAAAAATCTTTATTAGAAAAGTTATTATTGTTATTAGGAAAATTATCATCAGAAAAATCATCATCTGGAAAATCATTGTCAGGAAAATCATCATCAGAAAAATTATTGTTAGAAAAATTATCGTTAAGAAAGTCATATTTAGAAAAGTAATTATCAGAAAAGTTATCACCAAAAAAGTCATCATTATCATCTGAGAAATTATTGTTATAAGGAAAATTTGCAGAATATTTATTAAACATAATTTGATCCTCCATTGGTGTTTTAAAAAAATCTGCAATAAATTTTTGCTTCATGAACTTAGTAATTTTTCGCTTCATTAATGGTATATATTTTCAAAATACAGTTAAGAAAAAAAAAATTATTATACATTTGTTCAGTAAATGAAATAAAAGTTTTTAATCTGTTTAATTTTTCAGTAGCAGTAATTTTTGGTAGTTCTTTATCAGAATCATCCAGATCACCTTGCTTATATTCTAATTGCTCTGCTAATACAGTTTCAACAATTTGGTTATTATTAAGTATTTTTTTAATAAGAATAAGAGCATTATTAATTTCTCTGTAAGAATCTATTTCTTGTAAAACTGTTGAATCAGTAAAATCAATTACTAATTCATGCATTTTATTTTCTTCATGATCAATTGCTGCTAAATATATATTTTGTACAATTTCAATGTCATCATTCTATATCAATAGTAAAATACCTGTTTTTATTCAACAGTTTATTATTGTTAACTCATCTACTTTATCCTATAAAGCTATTACATAATCAATAGCTTCTTTAATATTTAATTTATTTCTAAATCAAAAAAAATTAGGTCAAAAAATTATAGTGCTTAACTTAATATATGGTAAACTTACTCAGGATCTCGAATATTTAGTACTTTTTTATACTAATCCAGAATATGTTGAATGTATTTTTTTTGATATTTTGTCTTAAAGCATTTAATAATTCCCGTATCTATAGATTGAAGATATGGAGTAATAAGAGCAGACAAAAATTTAATTTGAATATTTTGTTGGCTAGTAGTTAGACAAATCAGAAAGTATATAAACACTTGATCAACCTCTACCACACTTTCCTTTAGTTTGTTATTTGATGTAATATTGTTTGACTTAAAGTGACTATGACTGTAACCATGGCTATTGTAACTACGACTGCTACAACTATGACTGCTGTGACTGCAACTATAACTGTGACTACCATAAAGTCCCGAATATAAGCAACCCTCTAAGCCACCCATTTTGGCTGATTTTTTTAGAAGAGTTGCTTAATTTCAGTAACTTTTAAAATACGTAATTCTATTTTTGCTTATAGGGTTGCTTATTTTACTTTTTTCATATTTTAGTTCTAAAATCTAAAGGGTTGCTTATTTTCGGGGGTTGCTTATATTCGGGACTTTATAGTACTTCTATTTTTATAGCTATTTGATCTGGTAGGTTATAATTCTTCAGAATTACTATAACCAAACTCTTTATTAGATAAAAGTAAATCTGGATTAAAATAACTTGTTGCATTATCAATTAAGAGTAAAATTTTTTAATTTTTCAGTCAAAATTGATTGTCTAGATCTTTTAATTATTCTCCAAATATGTCACTTCTTATCCATGCCTTTGAATTGGCACAGTAAGTTATAGGTAATGTGGCATGATTTATTTCAGATAATGTCTGTAGTTTAATTGATGACCCTATTACAAGGGGCTTTAGTTTTTCAGTGCTAGTTACATTACATGCTAAAAAAATAGAAATATATGTATAATTCTAAATTTATTAACAATTTAAAAGAATTTATTTAGATAATACTATAATATAAACACTCTTTCTGATGATCACTAAAACCAAATTTTCCCACTAATTGAAAACCAAAATTTTTGTTGGAGAGTTATGGCCTATATTGCGGTTTATCTAGAAGTTAATGTTTTTGCTTTGTGGGACTCCTCTAAAGAGATATTTGGCATGCAAGCCAGGAGCGTTACTATACAATATAACTGGCAAGAGGTGCCCTTGTATATAAAATCTTGGTGAAGTGTGGGCAAAAAGCTCAACTTCATCAACAAAGTTTCTAGGTCATTACTTCAAAGAACACGGGGAAACAATAAAACTTTTTCTTTCTAAAGCCACACTCTTTCTTTTGGGTTTGGTAACTCTTCTCTTTCCTTTTCTTGCTCTCCCATCAGTCTTCCAAAATTTTTTACAAAAAGTGAAGATTTGGCTTACCCCCTCCAAAAAATCGGCATTGTTTACTTTCCAAATTCGGATGGACTCAGTAGAATGCAACCACGTGACGTGTCTGTTTACAAGTACAGTGCTACTCCGGAGAAGTCAGATCGGGGCCTCCAGTTAAAGAGATATCCGAAAGCGGTCATAAGTCGGAAGAACTTTCAATGTTAAGGCAAAGCTTTACACTAGAGATATACAATCGTTGCATTTGTTATATAATTTTTTCAGCCTTGCACAGGTTATAATAGTGCATCCTGGTTATGAAGAGAGGTGCAATCCCTCTCAACTTTTTATCCTTGTTCTATAAAAGCTTTTTTTTATTTTTTCTCGTTTTTCCTTTTTGGGTTTTTTTTACTTCGCTCTTTCCCTTTTCTTTCTTTTGCTCATTTCCCCTTTTTAGTCATAGTTCATTTTCGTTTTTTATAGATTTTTTTTTTTTTGGATAATTCCAGTCATCCGTGATCTGGTAGGACAGAGTCACAACTTAGGCCTGAGCTAGGTTTTTGCACTACAATATGGAACTGAGTAGTACCGGACTTCTATCTTTACATTTCTATATATTTATGTCATTATAAATATTAATAAATAAGATGAGTTTTGGCCAGACCCATCGACACAAAAAAAAAATACTATAATATAAAGAATTAATCTTATAATTCTCTGTCACACTAAGTGTCACTTATGACTACCTTCATTATTATTTTTTACATGTAATTAGCCATATTTATAATAATTATATTGTGGCCAGGAATCTTTCAACAAGAGATTCCTGGTTTTATATTGATCATCGGGAAACTCTAATTCTTAATGCTTAATTTTTATTTTAATCATTTTCTTTTTTATATTTTTCACATTTTATCTAAAGAACTTTAAAAGCCAAAGTAAATAGGTATAGTAAAATAAAACTAAAAAAAAGCACATAAGAGCAAAGTGAAAGTAAGAGTTTGAAAAAAAGTTAATAAGCAAAGCCCAAAAGTTAGTAAAGCACAATACAAATATAAATATAAAACACATATAAAAATAATAATATAGTAGGATCCTGAACATCTAGGATATAGGTTATAAAAGCAAAAAAAACACATATTTGTAAATATTTTAGCAACCAGTAATCCAATTTGGATAAACTTTTTTTAAATAAAAGCTCTCAGTGAGGCGCTTCTTTTTAAAAAAAGTTCATCACTAGATTCAGAGACATTTAAGAAAAAGTAAAATTTTAGTTTTTAGCAAATTAGGCCAAATCGGCCAAAATCCAAATATGACCTATATTAAAAATGTCCAGGGTTCTAATATGGTAGTCCGATTAACATCTAGTAATATGCTTTTGGGGATTATTTAATTAATAAAATAACTAGAATTACTTACTTTTTTCCAACTTGAACAGAATTGAGATGCCAATATTTGATTCGACACTATGCAAAAGTACAACCTTTCATCTAAATTAAATATATCTTTTAATTCATATAATTTAATAATATTTTGTAGGTTTTGTTGAAATTCTCAGTTGACACATTGCCAGCTTCTCCATGTAATTAAAATTTTTGCAAGCTATTCTATTTCTTAAATTGTTTTATTCAACTATTGGAAAATTTTAGCTCATTATTAAACAATAAAAGAGCCTTAACAAAATAAGCAGCCTTTTTCTTGATAAGTGCTTCAGTTAAAAATAGCCCATTATTGACAACTTGCTTTACCTATAACTTTATAGCTTGATTCAATAAAAAAAACTTTACTTGAGAATTAAAATATTTAGTGATTTGAATTTGTGTTTTTATATAATATTTACAAATATCACTTTTTAAACTCTTACTAACTGCTATATGTGTTTGTTTAGTAGACTAGTTTGACATTGTAATAACTATAAGTTTTATAGCAGAGTAGATAAGAAAGTTTAAATAGATATAGAGATGTCTTTTTATGTATATAAGAAAACTTTATATAATGATTTTCCTATGTAATTGTGAAGATTAATTAGAATCAATGATTAAATAAATATAAGTTATATTATAATTATAATTATTTATTACTAAATAAAATGTATATAAAAAACACGACTAGCAGAGTTTATCTTTTTTTTTAAAAAAAAATTTGGCAGTCATGTCTAAACTTTATTAGATTTACCACAATTGGCTTTACTGCATGCAGACTTTACACTAAAACACTAGCTTTAGCATCTAATTTCTAGGTTTTGACTAACTCAGTTATCCAATAGACACCTATATTCAACCTGCTATAGCCGATATTATCTATGCATCTATCTCTTCTGCAACCAAAGTAGATAGGTACATCATCAACTGGAATCGGCTACTCGTCATGATTACCAATTCTTCACCTTCTTAATATCCAAGCAAGTGGATTCCATAATCCTTGCCTCAAGAATAACAAATATACTAAATTAAACAAAGAAGTAAAAAAAAGTGAAAAACCAAATACAAAAAGAAAAATAAAATAATAAAAAAAAGTGAAAGACAAAAAGAAAAAAGCAAAAACCATGAAAGCAATGGCTTGGGAATATGAAGTTTTAGTTAAAAAATTATTTAATACTCCATAAAACAATTCTCACCTTTACTTTACTTTGGTATTAAAATAGTTCTTATTATGTAGGGAATACAAGATTTTTTTATTTATCTATTAATACAAAACCAATTAGTTGACCTTTGTTTACATACTACTCGTATATGTCTTTCAACAGTTGTCAGATGTAGAGCATCTGACTTTCTCATGACTACCTCCTGATTCGGTAATATAAACAATGTTGATTTTTTTATGAGAGTATGCTGAAATTCCCACTTTTTAGAAAAAATTTTGAGAGAAATATTAAAAAACCTAGCAGAAATATGTAAGGTGGTTTTCGGGATCAAGTATTTCAAATCTTTAAGAAATGTCTTTAAAAAACTCATTTGTTGTTCTCTTTTTCTTTATTATCTCTTAGTTGCTTTATTAGCGAAGACTGCTTTTTACACCAAGCCTGTCAACACCAAAATTTTATATACAAGAGTACAATCTCCAGCCAGTTATCTTGTATACTAACACTTTTGGCTTGTATGCCGAATATGTCAAAGAAGTTTCCAGTGAGAGAATATAACCTGGTTGGACCTTTGCAAAAACTAACCAATAGTCATGTTAACTACTTCAACAATTTTTTGTTTTTTGTTCAGTGGGAAAATTTGGTACAAGTGATCATTAGAGAAAGTGATTAGCAGAGTTTATCAAGAATCAAGATGTATTATTCTTTTATATTAATTAAAGATTCTTAATTTATTTTTTAATGGAAGCAATCAGTGTATTATTTTAGAATTAAAAAGTTTAATCAGAATTGATCGATTAATATTACAAGACTACAAACATTTACAATTTAATTAGTTAGATACTATATGTATTAAATGATAAAATTTTTTTGTAGTTGATTTTATTTTTATCCCAAACATGTTCTTTTATTTAATTTAGATTTTATGTTATCAGACACGGGACATGTCCCTTTACAGGGGTTCAAAATGATATACACTAATAAAGTAAACATGTCGATCATTCGATTTTTATATGAAATTTTGGTTTTACAAAACGTTGTATCTATGGTAACCCAAATTTATACAACCTTGTTATTTATCAAACTAAACGAATGAGAACCTTTAACATTTTTTAATTCGAAAAAGATCTTGAATTAAAGTTTAAGTAACCTAACCTCTGTAATATGGTTTTATTTAATGTAAGTACATTGTGCAAGTGGTATTTTTCTTTTTTTTAACAGAAAACTAAATTTTTTTTTTTTTTGTTTGAGGCTTGAACTTTATTGATATGTTAAATTGACACCACACGCTTGAGATTCAGACTTTGGTGAAAACTGATAATTAGTTTAATTAGCTTTTTAAATGATTCACGTTTTTTAAACAAACTATTTTTTTTATTTTTTTTTTGGCCCAAGAACTTTATTAAACATGAAATCGGTACTGAATAATAGAGATGCGAAACTTGAAGCTAGTCTAATGGCAAGTATTAGGGTTTGAACTTATGGAATTGGAAACTAGTCGTATGACAATTGCTAGTTTCTTTTTATTTTTTTGTAGCTTTTCACTTAATTGGTTTTTTTTTTTGTTTAGCAGAAAACTACTTTTTTTTTGTAAGTTATTTTGTTAATCATGAAATTACACTGGGCAAGGTGGTCCAATGATAAGTGCTATTTTTTTTCTTGTTCTTTTTTTAGCAGTAAGTTAGTAATTTATTCTTTTTTTTCAATTCGGCTCCATTGAAATGTGAAATAGTGAAGATTTGGCTTGAGAGGTACTAGTTCTTTACTATTATTTTATGTTTAATTCCTTTTTTTTAACACGAATTAATTCTTGTTATTTTTCATAGAATTAAGCTTCATTGGAGCATGTAAGATTATGAGGGTTTTGGCTTAGAATCAGGAACGATGTTCTGTGATGATTAATTTTTGCAATAATTCGCAATAATAAGTATTTAATTTTTGTGTAGAATTACTGCAAAAAAATTATAGCGTTTTGCAAAAAGGTATGACCCATGATTTTTTTGATGATGATCGAGAAAAATTTCTGAAATTCTAATTGTCTATTAATTCATATTTTCGATCTATAGAATTTCAGATTTTCACATGATTTGTGATATGCAGAGGCAATATCTTTTTGCAAAATGCAGAAAATCATTGTTCTTGCTTAGATTCGTAGACATATTAATAAAGTCAATTTGCTATAATTTTTTTTTTTGTTTTTATACTAATAAAAAGGATATAAATTTATGAGATCATAATATGGTCACTGTGGTATAATTATCGATAGTGGGGTTATATTGTATACTCGCAATGATATTGATATAATATTTAATAAATATATTTTAATTAATTAATAAATATAAATAATTTAGAATATATATAAATTTTTTTTATAAATTATAAAATATAGTATGAGTTTTATTAATATTTATAGGCATAAATATATAAAATTATTTAAAATTAATGTTTTGGCATCAAATGATTGCTTCTTACAATGACCCAAATGTCTATTAACTTCGTGATGCTTTGACCACTACTCTACGCCCCACATCCTTCTTTAGATTCTCCTTGATTTATAAGTCCAACATAAGTAATAATATACATGAAAGATCTCAACCCATACACATGTTACTTGCCATATATACTGCTTAACTATAGCAGTAAGATTAACCAAAAATAAAAAATAAAATCCAAGAGATTCTACTAACCTTAAGAATATCATTAATCCCAGCCCATGGGAGATTTAGATTATTCTATAACCTATTCTAAAGAGATTCGAATTAATTTTGCTTTATTGTTCTTAAAAATATCGTCCCAAAAATAAAAAAAAATAAAAAAAAAAGACAGCTAAATAAGAAAATAAAATAAAAATAAAGCGTTCAATACTTAGTTTTCAAGACTTAGGCTTTACCAAAGGGCAATGCAAATTCTCAAAGTCAAGATCCAGAAAAAGAGTAAGATCTAAAAAAAAAGGAACAAGTAATAAATAAAATAACAAGAATTTAAAAGACTGGAACAAGAGAAATAAGAATACTTATCTAAAAACCAATATCCAAGGGAGAAGTGAAATAATTAGAAGATTCAGATCTCCAGAATGGAAAATTTAATGCTCTAAATAGTGAAGGAATTAGAGAGAAAGTCAATAGGGTAATAATAATAGTAATAATAATAATAACTCAATATCCAGAAAAGCTACTCTTACAAAGTAGCTTTACTTTCTGAACGATCTAAATTGTAAATATATCACCATTGTGAAAATCCAAGATTTAATAATAGAATTACTTCCAAAGACCTAAATTGTAATCACATTTGCTGTGAAAAATGAGAGTTGCATCCCAAACATCTAAATTATGAAAAAAAAAGCATGATTCAGTAAATGAAGTAGATTAACTTCTTGAATAATCTAATTTGTAAATATCCCACCATATAATGAAAAATCTGAAACTTAGTAGAGTTACCTTCTTAAACAATTTAAATTATAGTCAGACCTCTCTAAATGCACCCTCTATAAGTACACACATACTCTAAATACACACTCAATTCTGGCCCAAATATATATTTGACCTCTATAAATACACTTTTTCCTATTGTTTTCTAAGTACTTGTTGCTAAAGTGTGGTCTCAAGGGCGTACACTTAGAGAGGTTTGACTGTATATATAACATAGTCATCACAAGGAACTGCGAGATGCCTTTTGAATAATCTGAACATGAAAAAAAAATTAAGACTTAATAAATCACCTCTGAGCTTTATAAGCGAACATAGTAGTATATACATATCTACTTATATATATATACAGTCATCCTCCCATACAATCACACAGTTGGGCACATAGTAACTTTTTTTAAAAAATGTGCTTATAGAGAGGTTGTACTTATATGGAGGTTTTTTTCTTATAAATTAAATTATAGTTTGGCCTAAATAAAAATGTGATTATATATGATGTGATTATATGGGAGGTGACTATATGGAGGGACAACTGTATCTTATTTCTAATGAAATAGATCTTTTGATCGTACGACAAGATCTATAAATAATAAAAACTCTATTTTTAGATGGCAATAAAGGAATGAAAGAACAACAATTTTGAAAAGAAAATTGCTAATTTTATCTTGAAAATGAATGCCTCTAAGTAAATGTTCAAAATCTACAAGTAAAGTGCCTTTGCACCAATAATATATTTTGAAGTACTTATTAGTTACTACCTTCGACAAAATAAAACTAAGTTAAAATGAAAGTACTTAAAAGAAGATCTTGACATTTATATTAAAAAATGCTGGTTTTCAAACACCTATTGCTCAGTATAGAGTTAAGTAATAGGTATTTTTTTAATTTAGAAATGAAAGTGTAAATCTCAAAAAATTAAACTTATTAATAAAAAAAGTATTGCTTACTATTCATTATTCAAAGTATTTTGCAAAAAAGTCTTATCGTTGAATATTACACAAAAATTAATTATTATTGAAGATCATCACGGGGGACATGTCCCGTGCCTGTTATATGCATAATATATCATAATTTCAATTAGTTGATAGGAATAATTCGATTTATAGATATAAGTATAAATCAAGAAATATTAACTCAGTATTTTGAATTTATATAGCTAAATATATTAACCAAAGTTAGATTTTCTTGATAATATTTATATAGCTAAATATTTTAACCAAAGTTAGATTTTCTTGGTAATATATATTTAACAATTATAAAAACAAATAGATAAGAATTATCGCTTGTAAAAAAATTGATCAAATTTAATTTATATTAAAAGTAAAAAGTATTCAATAGTTACAAAGAACTCGAATATAAATTGTTTATTATATAATCATTATCAGTTAACAATTATACTAATTTAATAAAGTACTAAAGTTCATATTTAATAGTATAATATTCTTAAATTCAATATATAAACCAGTTCACTTTTATATATAGTATTTCTCACATAAGTTTTTTTTATATGAAATTGTAATCACTAACTATTAAATTTAATACTAACGAATAGCAGATTTGAGTACAGAAGCTATCCCTTAAGCTGTAGAGTTCGTGTAATAATTTTAGCCTAAAAATAGCATAAATTCAGTTATAATTTACTTTTTTTAATTTTTAAAATATTTAAATAAAATTTCATATAATAATATTTAAAAATAAAGATTATCTTTTTATAGTATTTATATTTATA